CCCCAAAACCCCAAAACCCCAAAACCCCAAAACCCCAAATTGATGACCCTAGATTGGAGATTTCAAGGAGCTAAATACCTACTTTAGGGTTTAATAGCCTGAAAATAAACACTCATTGGAAAGATACCTTTACTCTGAATTAGATGTAACCAGACAAACTTCTGTTTTGAAGCTCCAATGATTCTCCTCCTCCGATGTTATGTTTATCTATAGATTAAGTATGGCTTAGGAAGAAATATTTACTTTGAGATTGATCTTTGATTCTGTCAGTGACCTCTTCTGACAGCTTCTCTAAATTAATGGTATACATTTTGGCAACAAACGAGAGCCCAACAAACATAAGGCCAATTGGAAGTCCCAGTCACATTCCTACTATTCCAAAATCCAGGTAAAAAGTAAACACAAAAGTCAAGGGAATCGAGATGACCCAATACCCAATGAGACAGATCAGAGTGCCGAAGTCCTGGCACCCCATCGCTCTGATGACTCCTTGTGTCGCTCCTTGCAAGTTATCTCCCACAAATGAAAGGCAGATCCAAGGCATTGTGGCTACAGCCAGAGTTTTCAGAGCTTCATCAGTAGTATACAGACCAATAATCTGAGATCTTAAAAGACAGGACATAACACTTATTGTAATTCCACAAATGAGAGCAGCAGAGACAGCAACATTCATATAAACTTTAGCATCTTTAGGCTTGGAAGCTCCAAGAGCGTTGCCAATCAATGAATTTGAAGATATTTGAAGACTTGCAGGAAAATTAAATATAAGGAGAATATAGTTCCAAAAGATTACAAAGACACCAAGTTCAAGCTCCCCAACATATCCAGCTATGAATTCAAGAGCCTCAAAAGCCCAAACTTCGAAAGTAATCATTATCATTGAGGGAATTCCAAATTTTAAGAACTCATATAATCCAATGAAGGAGTCTCCGTTGATCCAGTGCCATCAGTCGGGCTTGACAACTGAATTGTCATATCAGATATAAAGAATGGGAGCCATTAGATTTACAAATTGTGTCATTCATGTGGCATACCCAATTCCATGAAAGGATAGCTCAAGATAAGACACGAATAAATAAATCCAAAAGAAATGAGAAAGAGTGCTGATAATCTGAGTTATCATCATTAATTTAAATGATCCTTGTGTACCAAGAAACCTCCTTAAACACTCCGTTTGACAGTATGCCCATAAGCCAGGAATCATAATTCTGAGGTATTCTCCAGCATATATAGAAGATTGCTCAGGTTGCCCAATTAACATCAGAAAATAATCAGAATAATACAAAAAGATTGCTTGTGGGACAAACAAAGCTGTTTGGACGACTTGAGCTCTGGTATAATACCTTCCTGCTAGATAATTCTTCCCCATTCCAAAAGCGTGGGAACAAAGAGTATCAATGCCGCCAAATAAGCCTATTCCAAGGCTAACTCAGAACATTCCGCTCAGCATAATTCCCAGCCCGACACCTGATGTAAATCTAGGGTCTCCCATCCTACCAATGACATAATAGCTATAAAGATCAGGGATCCTTTTCGCTAACAGAGCTCCAGCAGTAGGCCCCGCATAAGCCACCATTTTCTTCACAGCTTCTGCATATGGGATAACTTCTTCCTGTAGATCAGCAGAATTTGGCTTCTCGATCAGACCTAAAATTCTTGTGAGCATCTTCCCTTGGATACGACTAAAAGCTTACCTTCCTTAGACCGGGAACCTTCATGACTCATTTTGGTTAAGTAATATATAAAAAATTATCAAATTGGATTTTAATGCCAGGGGTTTTGGGGTTTTGGGGTTTTGGGGG